CCAGACCAGGGATCTCTGCACTCCTCAGAGCTAACTCCCTGTTTGACTGGGTAGGAAAATTATTATCTCTCTAGAAGATCTATCCCCTTTCTTTGACCTGATTGGGAGTCTTTGCCTACCGTATTTCCCCAACTTCCTTGCCAACTTTCCTCCGGTTCTCTGTCTGTGTTAAACTGCTCTCAGTCAGGGTTGAATTCCAAACCTCTCAGTACTCAACTCTTAAACCAGCAAGGGCTGCAATCAGACTCCATTCTCCTCAGCATCCAGTTCAGAAGTTTTTCTTTGCTCAGCTTATGCTAACCAGTCAGATCTCTTGGAGCAGCCTGACACTCAGGGCTCTCTGTTTCTGTGGAGAATTAACCCTTCATAGTCCTTCAGCTGTTTTTGCAGCACTTCTAAGCTTTTAAAAAGTGTAGTCTGTCACAGCAGGCTTTTGAAAAGTAAATAGTTTTGCTAAGTCTTTGCATTGGGAAAGATTGAATGATCCAGTCACACCTGATACATGTGAAAGAATTGCCAGCCCCCCCCCAAAAGCAGTTGGATGTAGGCAGAGGTCGATTCGGGGGGAATCACGGGGGATCGCAGTTCCCCCGGGTGAGGTGCGGGGGGTGAGGCACACGACGAAGCCCCGCCCCCACTTCCGGCCGCCCCGCTTCCGGCCCTCATTCAGCCAGGAGGAGGCAGGAGAAGAGGGAGGGTAAGTTGCTTCCTCCCCGCCTCTCCCCACCCCTGCCTGCCTGGGGCCAGGGAGGGCCTTGGCGGGGCTTCCTCGCACTCCCGCCGGCCTTGCAGGTGCACCGCCGGGCCCCTGATGTCAGGGTGTGTGGCATATGCTAATGAGTTATGCTAATGAGTTCCCCTAGCTCTTTTTCTACGAAACGACCCCTGGATGTAGAGTAGGCCAGACAGTAAATCAACAACTAGCATCCTTTTTTGTGGTTGGATACTTTGGTCTCACAAAACCCATAGTGAATTTATGTATAATACAGTAATTTATAATTTTTGCTCACTAGCATGCTGTACCCCATTCTCTGAGAATTACTGATGCAGGTGGTACAATAATAGAATTGGCCTGGTACCCACTAGAACAGAACTCAGTTGCTTTGTGCGGTATGGTTGAGTGTAGTTGTACATTACACTTTGACATATGTTTAACTGGAAAGCAATGCCAATGTTGCTGTATGGTGCAGTTTGTGCTGCGGTACCCAGGCATGGTTTTGCTCTGAATAAAAGTGTAATAATGTTGCTTGATGTGTGTAATCCTAAAATGAATCCTGTCCTGCAAAATATTGCTTCCTCGTTGCATGAAGACAGCACTGTATTGGCTTTTGATGCTGTTTCCCCATGTTTCATTTTCTCCCCCAGTATTTTCTGCATTTGAATCTCAGCGTAGTTGTTGTTATACCCTATTATACCCTGTTATACCCTGAAGCCCTGGCTTCAGTAGTGTAAAAAATTATTTGCTTCCATTGAACTGAAGTTTGCTTTCAGGTAATAGTAACTATTTCTGACTTGACCTTTTGTCTCGCTGGAAACATTTCGTGGAACTTCATGTTTTGCGATGTCAGTGCGAGGCAAAGAGGAGTGTGGTAATCAACAGCATGCACACAGTGTGTATCGATCAGTTCTGAAACTAATTTATTGGGATGGGTTTTCAAAGATTCTAGGTAAGAGAGTTCATTGATAGTTCCAGAGTTTTTCTTTGTTGGTCAGGGAAAGGGGGTCCATTGTGAGTATTTTGATTCTTATGGCCTCTTCAAAGGGGGTGAGGAATACAGAGCTCTTTTAGCCTAACCCCTAATATTTGTACTTGGAGTAGTTACTAGGCTTTGTACCATTTCTCCTCCTTTAGCAATCTATCAGTTGTATTTGAAAGAAATATTTTCATAACCCATTTCCTAATTTAGGGGGGACAGGTTCTATTGGAGTCATTTTCTCATCGTATGGATACAGGGTTGTCAGCTCCCGGCTGGGAAATACATGGAGATTTGAGGGGGGGTGGAGCCTAAGGAGGGCTTGGGGAGGGGAGGGACTTCAGTGGAGCATAATGCCAATAGAGCGTAATGCCATAGAGTCCACCTTCCAAAGTGGCCATTTTATCCAGGTGAACTGATCTCTGTTGCCTGGAGACCAGTTGTAATAGCAGGAGATCTCTAGCCACCACCTGGAGGTTGGGTACCCTATAAGGATATTTTACAGGTCCCAGACGTATAGCTTCTGCTTTCTGTGTCATTTTTTGGAGGCGGGCTGAAAATGGCTAACAATTGTGTGAGGGGTGTGTTGCAACATTTACCCATGGAAATGAATAGTATTTCAGTAAAGGGGTGCAGTCAGGGACACCACTGAAGAAAGCTGAACCTGTGTCCTACTTCTAGTAATGTTGGATTGAGATCTGTTTCTTGATCATGCTAAACTGTGACAGAGCGTTGGGAAAATCGGCTTTTACACCTCTATAATGTCCATACACTTATTTCCCTTTCCCTTGTAGGCCAGAGTCATTACTAGTTCGTTGAGTTGCTGTTTGAGAACTGTCAGCCCCCAAATGATTATCAAGATGTTAACAGTCCAGTCAGCATAGCTTCCCAAAGGGAAGAAGAATTTTGCATCTTTAATTTAGATGACGGTCTGATGATAACGTGTGATACCTTCCGGCTAGGCTGCTCAACCCGAGACTATCTCGTATTTTTCTGGGGCTATTATGAATTGCCTAATAAACACAGACAAGTTTCATCTGATGGCAGTGCACAGTTTAGAATGTCTGTCTGGAGGTCATTTTCAGAACTGATTTGTACAAGAGTGTTTATGCCTTAAAGGTAAATGAATACTCTTTAACACACTACAATACAAAGTCTTTCTAGGAAATAGTTGTTTGGAAGCCTTTCTAAAGAATGTAAGCAGTGTTATGTAGCCACTAATGCTGTTTGAGTTTAGCAAAAAAACCAAAACCGCACTTGTCCTCTATGGCATTCTTGAACATTTTGAGTTATATAGTTCCTTTTATGTAGTTAAGGTGAACCAGTATTTAAAAATACTCAGGACTGTTTTTGCAATTGCCAGCAATAGATTATTATTTTTGCAAACATTCCAGAGAGTGCCCATGGATGGTTTCTCAACTCTGAGTCTGTGTCACAAAATCTGCTGGTTATAGTGGGCAGTGTTTTGCTTTGTATTGCTTTCTCTGGGTATACCTTACATCTGCTCGTCAGTTCACCTGTATCTTTTTATTTTATAAGATCAGCATGTGGATTAATGGTGATCTTGTTCAAGTGTGGGTGTGTGCATGTATGTGTTAAGTGCTGTCACGTTGCTTCTAACTTACACAACCCTGTGATTTAATGACCTCCAAAACGTCCTGTCATTAACAACCTTGCTCAGGTCTTGCAAACTGAGGGCCTTGACTTCCTTGATTGAGTCAATCCATCTCATGTTGGGTCTTCCTCGTTTCCTGCTGCCTTCAGATTTTCCTAGCATTATTGTCCGTCGCAGTGACTCTTGTCTTCTCATTATGTGACCAAAGTACAATAGCCTCAGTTCAGTCATTTTAGCCTTTAGGGGAGAGTTCAGGCTTGATTTGATCTAGAACCCACTTCTTTGTCTTTTTGATGGTCTATGATATCTATAAAACTCTTATCCAACACCACATTTCAAATGAATCAACTTTCTTCCTGTTAGCTTTCTTCATTGTCCAGCTTTCTTCACTGTCCAACTTTCAAACCCATACATAGTAATAGAGAATACTGTGTTATGAATTATCTTGGTCACTAGATAATTGGTCCTTACTAGGGCTGCCAAATCCCCCCGGGGGGCAGATTTTCCCCCGCTTTGGAGGTCCAATTTCCGCCCCCGCTGAAAACCCCACCCCTGCGTGCACGTCACAGGAAAGTGACGTCGTGACGCCGGGGACGCTGGGGGCGGGGCACAGCCATTTGAGGGGAAAACTCGATGTTTTCCCCTCAAATGGCTGTGCCCCGCCGCCAGCGTCCCCGGCGTCATGACGTCACTTCCCTGTGACGTGCATGCTGCCGGGAGCCAGCACAAAGTCCCCCACTCGCAGAGTTAAGTCTATTTGGCAACCCTAGTCCTTACACTGAAGAATCTTTTTAGCTCCTTCATAGCTGCCCTTTCCAAATGTATAGTGTTTTAAAATTTTTGCTCCTTAGAATCTCATGCATTGTACTGCAGCACAATCACACATGTGCTTCTGAATTTTTGAATGTGTTGAATGAATCCAGATGGCTCTGCAAATTGATCTTTATGTAAAGACTTGGGTTGGCATCTACTTTTCCTGGAGAACCAGCTTCCGGAAAGAGTAAGTGTGGTAGGCTAGTGTTTCAGTTCCCCTCCCCCACAGTTGCTGTCAGGCGTGTTCTGTAGCCATAGATGCCACCTTCTTCATACGACTTTTGTGTTTTGGGGAGCAGTGGAGCAACCAAGGTGTTTCCAGTTGTTGACCTCAATGTAAAGTTTTCTTCCTGCAGCTGGTATGAGAAGATCCAATATGTTAGGCAAGATTGTAATTTTGAGATGAAGTTGGAACACATTTATTTAAGGCTGAGCTAATTCAGAACGATTAAAATACCTCAAATTGGAGAGCACTTAAAAAAATCCCTATAATTAGATTTTACATTTGGCACAATCTTACTTAATGCAAATCACTTGAGAAGCTGGGTAAGTAAAACATTAGCAAGTGCTGCTTTTATTAGGTTATTTTTTCTAACTTAAATTTGGATATATGAGGCAGGATTTTGCTTTTCTTATTTTAGCTAACTGGTAAAAGACTAGGATTCAATGTTTTTTTTATTTTTTCTAGCAAATCCCATGAAGAGAGAATGCCCATATCTTGAATTAACTATGCAAAACATTTTGTATTGTGCTGTCCATAAACTGTGTTGCATCTCAATCTAGTGCATGTGTACTTGGAAGTAAGTTGTACTAAATTTAGTGGGAGCTGGCTCCCAAGTAAGTGCACCCAGGATTGCAGCCTGAATCTCTCTTCCTAGGGTTGTGTATTCATCTGACAGAAATGTTAAAGAGGCCGAGCAAGTGATTCTCCAGAAAAAAGTGTCAAAGACTAGATTAACCCAGGAAGATGAAAGTCTTAAATTCACCAATCTACAGGATGCTCAAGATCATGAAAGGACACCTGGTCATCAGTATTCCTCAAATGGAGCTGTAGAAACAGAAACTGTAGCTTCCTCTTTTATTGCAAATGAAATTTCTGAAGAAACTGTTGATGCTGAAGGCAATATAACTATGTCAGGTGAGGTTAAAATGGTGTTGTGTGGATTTTCGTTGTTACCTAAATGCCATTGTGGGTTTGTTTGCCATCTCCAACAAGGTTTGCAGTTACTCCACCAGCAATGTCAAGATTAATATACTTAATGTGAAATCCTAAACCAATGAGCCTTGCTTAGGACAGAGCTGTAGGGATGCCACAGTCTTTACATCCAGTGTTTGTAAGAGCAGAGCTGATGCACTTAAGTTCAGTACTCTTTTTTTAAGCATTGCATTGGTGAGATGGAGATCAGTCACTAAGCAGAGCACGTTATTATACACACTGAAATAGGAAAAGTCTTGCCTTTTATCTGTTGCAAATCTCAGAAGTGCTCCATACAGGCATGCATGGGTACACGGAGTTGTATTATACTAAATTAGATCATTCCTCAGCCCTGTTACCTGGTAACCTGTTTTTAAACTACAGATATAAAGGATTGAAACTGGGATCTTATGCATAAAGAGCATATGCTTGTTTTTAGATGTTGCACAAATATACAACTTTTTCTGTAATACCACAGTTCTTTTAAACTGTAATTCTTTGGTTTCATTTCAAAACATTTCCACATGAAACAGGGAACAAACATAGTCACTTTTTTCTTTTCAGATAATTCTAAAGCAGAAACTGCATCTGATTTAGGACAAGAATTGTTGATGCTCTACGAGAAATCTTGGTTTTCAGATATTACTATGTGGATTGATGGAAAACCATTTCACGGACACAGGTATTTCAAGAAACAATACAACTTCTAAAACAAGGTCAGCGTATTGCAGTTAGATTTTTCTCCCAAGGAACATCAACAACATGTAGAATGCAAACAAGTATTGTATTTTATATTACTTTACAGCTGTGCTGGTATTCTATCCATGTTTTATCAGAGAAAGGTGGGAAAAAGTAAAAATACATTTTTCTCCCCTTAATGTAGCTGGTTCATACACTCATTGATGGGTATATTCTTTTATGTCCAGTGGTGTGCAGCTCTGGATTGCTGCCATGCATTAGAAGTAACCTTTGATATGTACTAAGAAAATCCAATTCAGATGTTGGGTTCTGCATATGTTGTCTTGCATGTTGCTGCTTGAGATTTTTCTAAGTATGAAAAATGGGTATGCTACATTCTGAAATGCTGTTCAGGTAGCCGACTCCTCTGTTATGATATGAAAAATGAGGAAATCTTAGCTGCTAAGCAAACATATATAGAGATTATTATTCTAAATGCATGTTATTTTCACCTGGGATGTTGAACCAGCCTCAAGAAGCCTGGCAGCCAATCTCACCAGTAGGGGATGAGGGAGCCAAGGCTGAACGAAACAGCTGCATTTATACTAGTTGAATAGAGGCAAGTTGGGCTGACAGTCGTTGAATGTTTTCTGGACTGGAAAAGGTTGCATTATGAAAGATGAAACTGAAAGCATAGTTCTGGAGTAGCTCAATAAATCTAACAAGATTGAGTATAAATTACTTGCATCTGAAATGTCTGCACTATTGGGCTGCAGTTTCAAGAGCTACTTTGGGATGCAAGTCCTAATAGTTTTATTCTGTCATATTAATATGTAATGCTGAACTAAAATTGCTGTTCAGAAATCTGAAGTTCAGTGTATATCTAAACAGGTCAGAGAAATCCTTTGTTAGATGCAAAACTGGAAATGATTTGAGCAACAGATAACTAAGTGGATTGATCTAGATATAACACTGCACCTGGGTTTCCTACTGTGGTACTTACCTGGATAGGAAAAGTACCAAACTGGACAAGGGTTTGAGTTATCAGAACTTTCCCAGCCATAATTCTTTTCACCTCAAAAAAAAAAAAAAAAACACACACACAACCTTCTCATGTCACCAGTAGGATCTGTCACTTTAAACTGCCTCTTATAGAACTCTTGAACTTTTCCAGTGAAGTTGCCTTGACCCTATTTTTGTTCTAACCAAAGTTACTATGAGAATCAGCAACTCAATCTGTCATTTAACTTCAGTACAAGACATAGGTGGCTTCTGCAGGCTTGTGCTGTTTCCATAGGGTTGCCAGCCTCCAGGTGGGGCCTGGAGATCTCCCGCTTTTACAACTAATCTCCAGCTGACAGAGATCAGCTCCCCTGGATAAAATGGCTGCTTTGAAGGGTGGACTCTACGGCATTGTACCAGGCTGAGGTCCCTCCCCTCCCCTCCCCAAACCCCACCCTTTCCTGGATCCACCCCCAAAGTCTCCAGGTATTTTCCAACCCAGAGCTGGCAGCCCTATTTCCACCATTGTTTATGCAGCTGCTGATGCCACAGTGGTAAAGGAGCTCCCATGTGGCACTTTTCCCTGTAGTTTGTGTCCAAGTCCCTCAGCAGTGGCCACCCATTCGAGCTTTTAGACCCTGGAATATCATCATATTGATATACAACTATTGCAATATGTGTAACAGGTTGTCTGAATTTCCAGCTTTCATTATTGTAAAAAAGTGAGTTTCTAGCCCCTACAATTTCATACGTAAGCCTTTCTCCTTATATCTTTACAATGGAAATGGCTAGAGATTTTCTTGTTTAAAAATGAGCGCTGGGAATTCAGAGAACATGTTACCCACATTGTTATAACGGTATATCATCATAACAATATTCTAGTATTTATTTTTTTCTAAAAGCCTTCATTGGTGAGGGAGGAAAGGGCCACTGTGGGTACAGTGTTGGGAAAATGGTTGCCCTGTGGGTAGCACAATCTGCACTCATCCACCCACATGGCAGGCGTCCTGGCTTTACTGCAGTCTTTTGCAAGCCTTAGCAGCAAAGCAGGTTTGAGAAAGATCAGTGAAAGTCTGGGGAAACCCTGGGAGATGTACAAATGCACCACAATGCTGTGAGGAAGCAGGAAAAAACCCTTCTTCCCAACCTCATGGAACCCCGAGCAGATAACTCATGTGAAAATGGCAGTAGTCTACTGAGTCACACACAGTGGCAAACTACTGTTTGCACATCCCCCCTGTCTGCAGTTCTGCTTAAGTAGCTGATTGGAGAGAGGGTGAATAGAGGAGAGACTGATGCTATGTAAAATGTAGCCCGTCTGAAATATGTGTGATGTCTGAAGTAAGCTGAGGGTTGCCAGCCCTGGGCTGGGAAGTTCCTTAGGATCTGGGGGTGGTGGAGCCCCGGGGAGGGACCTCCGCAGGGACATCATACTATGAAGTCCACTCTCTTAAGCAGCCATTTTCTCCAGGCGAACCAATCTCTGTAGTCTGCAGATCAGTAATTCTAGGCAGGGGTCATTTTGTAGAAAAAGAGGTGCAGGAGCTCATTAGCATAACCCATTAGCATAACCTATTTGCATATGCCACACCCCTGACGTCACCGGAAGTGTGTCAGAAGGCAACCCCCCCCGCTCAGGCTCCACTGGACTGTTTTGGATTGGTAGCTATTGGGGGGGGGGCACGTGCAGATCTGTCCTCGCAGAGGCGGGAGAGTTTGTACCTGAATAAAACTTGGTCTTAAAGGCGCCACTGGACTGTTTTGGACCAGGGGGCGGGGGGGAGCTCTGCAACTTACCTGGCTGCTTCTTGCTCTGACTGAGGGCTGCTGGGAGGAGGGGGTGGGGCTTGTTGCATGTGCCCACCCCCTGGGCTCTTTACTGCCAGAGCTCCGCTCCTATGCGCTCCCGCAGGAAATGACCCCTGATTCTAGGAGATCTCCCGGCCCCATCTGGAGGCTGGCAACCCTAAACAGAATGTCTCAAAATTTTAAGAGCTTTTCTTCAGGATAGAGCTTAATTTTGAGGAAAGGAGGGTCTTTTTCAAAGCTGTTGCCATTGTTGCTACTGAAAAAAGCTCTCTGACCTTTCTAAAACAGAAAAGCTGTGGTGAAATTGCAGTCTAAAATTGTAGAGTATTAATAACTGAGTGTATTTTAAACTCAAAATAATATTTCTCCTTTAGAAGAAAGAAAAAATACCTTTAAGTGGGAAATAGCATTCCCCTGGTGTACGTGTTAGAAATCCCAGGTGTCTAGGGATTTAAGAGGGACACCCCCCCCCCCCAATCCTGTTTGTGGGCAATGAGACCGGAGGCATTTCAGAATGCTAGCATTCTTCCTCATTTCTGTGACAAATTGGACAAAATTGCCAGAGATCCTGGGAGGAATAAGTATGCAGTGAGCAGACGCACATTAATTTGTAAAGGGCAAAGAATGCTTTGTAACCACGTTCTTAAAATAAATATTTGTATCTAGTAGAATAATGTTTGCTTTCCCCCCTCTCTCTCCCAGGGCCATTTTATGTGCCAGATCTAGTTATTTTTCTGCTATGCTGAATGGGAGTTGGGCTGAAAGCTCTCAAGAGCACATCACTCTTCAAGGGTAAGCATCGTGTTTGTAAGTCATATGGGAGCAAAGGTAGGCAATTTTAAATCACTACAAATTCAGAGCAGCCACAATGCATACCAAGCAATTCAGATTAATCTGGCTTGACACTGCAGCTGAAGTAATGTATTTGAGCAAGGGTTCTGATGTGGCTACTGGGAAGTCTTTGTGCTTTGAATCTCTCTTGATTCTGAACAAAAATTGTTAATTGGAAAAGTTTTTTTTTTTAAAGGGAAACACTGGAGAAGGGAACACTGAACTATCTGCATTGCAGTTAAATAAGTCTGCATTGTTGCTTCTATCTGCTGAAAACGTACAACCTACCCATCCTCCTGTTCTTCCCTGGAGCAAATCCATCCACCTAAAGAGTAGCTGAGCAGTATGTTAGCACCAACCTTAATCATGGTTAAGGCAATTCAGGATTTCTCTTAGATCAGGGTATAAAACCCATTTGAAATTGCAGCTTCCGATCCTGATTTAAAGGATGCCCTGCTTAGTGGCAACCTGTAGCTAATGTCAGTGCTAACAAATTGCTCAATTATGATTAAGCAAAGGGGGGGGGAGTGGAGATTTGGTCCTGAGAAATGCACATCTGTTTGGGCGGGCTGGCTCCTGAATAGCACGTGAAGCTGCCTTATACCGAGACAGAGTAGTGGTCTATTAAATTCGGTATTGTCTACTCTGGCTGGCAGCAGCTCTTCAGTGTCTCAGGCAGAAGTCTTTCTCATCACTTGCTACCTGATGCTCCTAACTGGAAATGCTGGGGATTGCACCTTCTGCATGCCAAGCAGGTGCTTTATGCAACATGCTGCATTCCTGCGACTTATTGTAGTCAAAGTTTCATGTTCAGTTGTTAGTCATCATCATCATCATCATACAGGGTTCTTTTTGTAGCAGGAACTCCTTTGCATATTAGGCAACACACCCCTAATGTAGCCAATCCTCCAAGAGCTTACAGTAGCCCCTGTAAGAAGAGCTCTGTCAGCTCTTGGAGGATTGGCTACATTAGGGTTGCGTCACCTAATATGCAAAGGAGTTCCTGCTACAAAAAGAGCCCATTGGCATAGCAGTAATATCAAAGGAGAACTAACAATACAGTTTGCCAAATAGCCAAAGTAAAAGCAATGTAAATACAAATGACTATAGTGTTGAATTTAAAATGGTTCATGCAACGGCAGCACGCTCTTAACTTGGCTAAGAACAAGATGGCTGCTATAGTTAGCTTTTACTATCAAAAAGGTAATCACTTTGTTCCAGCTGCCCTACGGATTTCTTGAGCTACAGTAATTTCTCAGTTACTGTACGGGATCCCAGTGTGGATTCAGGATTTTAACAAAAAGGCTGAATGTGTTAATGCAGTCTTTTTTGCACCATATTCTTGGTGTTCCCAATTCTGTTGGTTACTTTACTCTGTGTGCTGAATTAGGTCCCCATATCATAGAATTCAGCGCTTCGGTTGCGACTATTAAATACCGGCTACATCATTATTTCCGACCTCCTTCAAATAGCCGTTTGTTTCTAATTGGTCCCAATTAATATTTGATAAAATCCATATGTTAGGCATTGATTTAAATTCCCTGGCCAACTCTAGTCAAACGTATATATTTCGTACAATCCAAAGGAGAAACTGGGATATTGATTCTCAACTAATAAATGCCGGAGCAGAGGGAACTTGTTCCCCACATTTCCTGGGCCTTTCCGATTTACAAAATTTTATGGCTCAGTACTTTTCAAATTTAGTGATCCCTTCTCGACATAGAGCTTTCATGCTGGTGAGAGTCAATATATTTCCCTTGGCCGTGGTCAGAGGCAGATATAAGGGTATCCCCCTTGAGGAAAGATTCTGTACAGCATATCCTTTTATACTGCCGGTTGTTTACTCACGTTTACGTTTGATTGGCCCTTTCCTCCAAACCTTTAAGACCATGACCTCTAGAGGCATTCAGTTCTTGCTGGCAGACAAATTCCCTGAAATTACCGAGCAATTTTTAGTCTACCTCTGAGCCACAAACCCTCCCTACTAACTATTGTTAACTGTGGTTATTGACGAGCCAGCGTCACATCTGCACAGACACACACACAGGAAGGCTAATGATTGAATAGATAAAAATTCATCATGTCACTAAGTATAATAAATAGTAACAGTATACCGTTGTAAATTTAAAAGTAACCTGATTCTGTGGTTCATGGATCACTTAAACCTTTGATACTGATTTTCAGAAATGGTTCCATTTCCTTGCATCCACTAGTCTTAATTCACAGCTGCTAGTGTTATGGCACTAGAAAATGGAATGCTTTGAAGAGGCTAGGGTGGTGTAGTAGTTAGGGTGTCAGCCTGGGATCTGGGACACAAAAGTTGAAATTCTACTCTGCCTTGCAAGTTTGCTGGGTGACCTTGGGCCAGTCACACCACTCTGAGCCTAACCCACCTCACAGGGCTGTTGGAAGACTAAAATGAGAGAGACAAGAATGATGTAAGCAGCTTTGCATCCCCTTGGGGAGAAAAGTGGACTCTAAATGAAACTGAACAAATTAAATCTTTGGGGTCAGTCCCTTCTGGTTGATATCTAATGCTTGTGGTAAGAGCCAGGGCTATTTTGGAGCAGGAACACACAGGAATGGAGTTCCGGCTGGCTTCAGAGTTGGCCACATCCACTACAACCAAAACCTCTGTGTGTGTGGCTACAGAGGGAAGGCCTGGAGACTGACCCCCCCACCCCCCCGGCGACTCCGAAGCGGGCGGGCCAGGGAGGGCCCTGGAAGGATCGGGGAGGCATTTAAATGCCTCCCCATGCCTTCCCTGGCCTGTCCAAGGGCCGGCTTTCCCGGGCAAGCCTTCGGGGGGGGGCTTGCCTAGGCTCCCCACAGCCACAGGGTGCCCAGGCAAGCCAAGGGAAGGCATGGGGGTGTGGCCCAATATGCTAATGAGCTGTACTGTCATGGGTGTGGCCTAATATGCTAATGAGTTTCTGCTGTTGGGTGTGGCCTATTATGCTAATGAGTTCCTGCTGGGCTTTTTCTACAAAACAAGTCCTGGTGTAAGAGCCATAGCCTAGGAGTTCAAGATTGTTTGAGGGATTTATATCCCACCTCTGTCAGAAAACTGATTCCTGTGACAACATAATAAAAACATTATAAAATCCAATTTCAAGTTAAAAACATAAAAAAGCAGGAAAATAATTTAAATATATAGCTGGCAAATTATATATAAAGTCAGGAGTTTATGCAACAAAGAAAAAAAAGCCAATCATCAATGGGCCAGATAGTACTGGTATTTTGCATCTGATTTGTGCTAAGGGATAATCAGAGTGCAGTTTACTAGTAGTGTTGCTCTAGAACAGTGAGCCACAGTCGAAAAGCTAGATTTGAGACAAGAATTAGGGTAAGCATTTGGGGCAACACAGGTCTATATCCCACCAATATTTAGCAAAATCTCTTCTATGAGACATGTTAGGGATTCCTTTGTAATCATAAAACTCTAGTAAATAGTTTGCTGTACTAGTGATTAGGAGCAAGGCCTGTCCTGTAGAGGATGAGGGATAAGTTTCCTATGTGCGAGGAATTTCTTCAGTATGGAAGTCCATTTAATCATGTACTTCACCCTTATAGTCTGAAGTGGTACAGTTGAGAAACAGTTGTCTTTGTTCAGTCTGAGTAGATTGATCTCATAATTGGACCTTTTTTTTTACTTAAAACTGTCCTCTTTTGATAACATTTACTATTACTATTTGGTTCCAATATTAGTAGACAAATGGTGCATGTATATCATCTGTAAATTAGTGAATTGCTCATATGGGGCTTATAGTGATATAATTATTTTGTTTGTCTAAAACATTTTTATGCTGCCTTTCCACCCAGTTCAGAGTCCCCAGGGTGGCAAACACCCAAAAGATTAAAACAAATTTTAAAATGTGTGTATATAAATAATTCATCAGAACTCATAGACACATAAACAGGAAGGAGGGTTACTGATGAACCACCAAGCAAAACAGTAATGTCTTCACCTGGTAGCAGAAGACAGTGATAGAAGGGGTCAAATGACTCTCCCTAGGGAGGGAATTCTGCAATTTTGGTGCCGCAATTCAGAAGGTGCCAGCTTCTAATCTCAGAGGGCAGAGATGCAGGGCCTCCAAATATGACTTTAGTGGTCTGGTAGGTTCATATAGGAGTAGGCAGTCTTTAAAGAATGCTGCTCAAGTCATGTTGGGCATTAAAGATCAATACTGGCACTTTGTTATGGGCCTGGAAGGAAATTGGGAGCTAGTGTGGGTGAAACAAGACTAGGTGTCTACAGCCCACTCCAGTCAGCAGTCTGGCTGTAACATTCAGTATCATTTTATTCTCCAAACACTCTTCAAGGGTAGATCATGTTGCAGTAGTCTAGCTAGATGTTGCCAGGGCATGCACCACAGTGGTAAGATCTTTTTCACCCAGGAAAGGCTACAGCTGGCTCACCAGCTGAAGCTGGTGAAAGGTACTCCTGACCACCCTACCACCTGCTTATCTATCAGGAGTCCTGGGTCCAGCAGCATCCCTAAGTTATGGACTTGCTCCTTTAGGGAGTGAAACCCCTTGTAGAACAAGAGGCCTTTCAATTCCTGGGTCAGTCCTGTGTCATGCTTCTCAAGGTATGTTCTGTCCATATGCCTAACCTCATTTAAACTGCTAAAAAATGCATAGTAGTTGTTCCTTTCTTGGGAGTGTTGCCCTCTCTTCCTGATGGTGCTGCTGTATTTTTGAATCCTCTTACAGTTTGCTGTTAAGGCATTGATCACCATGACATCTTAATGGGGTTTATTTTTTATAGTCTAAAATGCTTGCAGCTATGCCATAAAGCTCCAAAGCTGCCTGCTTACCTCATCCTCAGCGCTCCTCTTGCAGTACCTATACCTTTATTTTTCTGCCAACAAGGAGGAGGAGGAGGAGGGATTTATACCCCGCCCTTCACTCAGAGTTTCAGAGCGGTTTACAAACTCCTTTTCCTTCCCCTCCCCACAACAGACACCTTGTGAGATAGGTGGGGCTGAGAGAGCTCTTTCAAGAACTGCCCTTTCAAGGACAGCTCTTGTCAAAACTATGGCTTGCCCAAGGTCATCCAGCAGCTGCAAGTGGAGGAGTGGGGAATCAAATCCGGTTCCCCCAGATTAGAGTCCACACACTTAACCAATAACCACTACACCAGACCGGCTCTTATAATATAGTAGGCTAAGTCTGCAGGGATATAAAACTGTCATTGCACTGTTTTGAGGAAGCTGCTATTAAAAGCAGCTGTTTTTCCTTCCTTGCACAGCTGTTAGATATGGATCTGTGCACTGTATGATAAAAGTGTTAGATGTTGTTCCACATGGGATATCCTGTAATTTCCACTGCTTAAAAAACTTGGGGCACAACTTTTTCATAAAAACCAATATTGTCTATCTATGTGATTGTTTTTCCTGTTGACTTTGCTGGAGTTCTCACTGTACATTATAATTTGTCAAAGGAGCATTCTTTCTACCTAGGTGTGTTAGTCTTAACTGAAGAGTTAGTGTTCCAGATATTGGAAGGTAGGATTCCTAATTGCTGTAGAAGATGTCCTCTTTTTAGCCATCTTCTCCTCAGTGTAAATTTTCATGCTGTTTTTATAAACACTTGAGAGTGTAGTGCATATGGCTTATCCTGAAATAATGAAAATGCTGTTTAAGATACCAGCTGTCAAGACAGCAGGGATACTCGTTCATGCTGGTTTTTATGGCTACCTCGTGTTTCACATACAGTCAGACAACTGTGCTGATTTTTACCACTTAGCAAAATTCATATTTCTGGTTTTCACTGAATGCTCTTTATACATATTTCACATTAACATAACAAAGTTTGAGTCCAGTGGCTTGAGTCCACATGTCACAGTATACGCAGTAGTTCCCATTAACTATTATAGAACCCCTCCCTCCAGATACAGGACTAATTCACAGGAACTGTGGATTACAATTACACTGAAGTCTGTGTTCACAAGGTAAAGGTGGTTCTTATCTTACTGAAATGACCCCCATCCAGTGAAGAACACCAAACTAAGCCTATGACTAGCTGCACTCTGAGAGCGCCCTGTGGTTACCATGGCAGCCATGAAGTTGTAAGCCACCCCCAACAGCATGACCTTGGCCTTGCTGGTGAAGATCCTCAAAACCTGTGGTCTCATCCACCTGGGGTCTCATCCACCAATGTCAACACTGGCTTGCTTAACTCAGAAAAGTGGCTAGCAAGTAAGAAGCTTCAAGTTTGCAGGCAAGGGAAAGATCACTGAAGCCTTCAGTGGGCTTATCATGTGAGGACTGGCCTTTTACATTTTAGTGGTTAGGGAAGGACAACCATGTGTAATTTTAGATTGCAATACTTTCTTTACCTTGTGGTTTGTTTTAAAATTACAACAGTATTGCCATTCAGTCTTGGTGAACCGCTCAGGATTTGTAAAATATGTTAAGCATTCTACTTTAAGCCACAGATGTTGGCGTCTGTAACAATTTCTTTTTCTATTTTGCAGCATAAACCAGGTAGAAATAACTGTCATTCTGCATTTTATTTATGGCGGAATTCTGGATTTCCCAAACAAAGCAGATGCTGGGTATGTGGCAAGTCATGTTATTTTTAATTGCATACAATGCCTGCGTTGCTTCTTGCCATCTACATTTGAATGCAAAGTACAACACAAAGTCTATAAATGAAAAGTTAAATGTGCCAGAAATCCCATTTCAGACACTGCCAAAAAAGTGGTGGTGGGGAGACCCTTATACTTTGTAGTAGAACTGTGGGGCAGAAGTGATGAAGAAAAGTATATGGGAAGGGGAGGGTGTTTGAGCCATGTTCAATACTCCCTCTAAGTTGTGGGGTCTTGTGAGCAAAAATTCTACTTTGTGAGCTACTGGCATTAAAGCTGTGAATGAGTGATTTGGCTACTGCCTACATTGGTTTGCTGTGGAGCCATCCTTCCTGAGCTAAGACAAAAATGTGTGAGCCAGCGGCTAAAAAACTGAGCTATCTCACACTAACTCGGCTTATAATTATTTATTATTTATTTATTTATTTTGGGATTTATATCCCGCCCTACCCGTACGGCCCAGGGCGGCAAACAAGCGGCAACGCCGGAAATAAAACATAGGTTACATTAAAACCTCAATAAATACAACTAAAATGGTGCTCTACAGTTCATTTTAAAAGTTCAAGATGGTAGATGTCCCTCACTGGCGGCCAATGGTATAAACGCAGGAGCGCCAGGGTGGTGTTCCTCTTCTGGGCGACGACTGCCCCCATCCAAAGCCAGGTAGATGGTAAATCAGCCACGATGGTGGTATAGTGGCAGCGGCGGCGGCTTAGAGGGAACACTGGCCATGTTCCTTGTTTGGTTCCTGAGAGTCCCTATTCGTTGCTGCAATATTACAAGTCTGGATAATTTATTGTTTGTTATCCCCTGTTCATGAACTGTGTTTCAGTCACAAACAATAAAATTGGTCAGGGTCCGACCTACCTGAGGGACCGTCTTTCCCCACACATACCCCTACGAGCACTTCGGTCTGGGACGCAACATCGCCTGGTGATTCCAGGCCCCAGGGAGGCAAGGCTTGCCATGACCAGGGCCAGATCCTTTTCAGTGGCGGCTCCTACCCGGTGGAACGAGCTCCCGGAGGAGATCAGGGCCCTGAGGGACCTTCTGAAGTTCTGCAGGGCCTGTAAGACTGAGCTTTTCCGCCAGGCTTTTACGTAGGGGCCGCCGCTGCCACCACCACAAATGGTGTGGGTAACAATGGGGCTAGGGGGGATGGACCCTGGAGGATCTGCCAGGATACTGCGTGGCGCCGTATATCAACTGGTTGTATACCAACTACAGGACAACAACACCATTATGAAAGACTGATACCATCTTGTAATTTTATTTGGTGACCATCTTGTTTTTTTACTGAGCACCTTATTTGTGTTGATAATTACTGGTTTTACTGTTTTTATATGATTTTATGCATGGGCACTTGTTGCTCCTTGTAAGCCGCCCTGAGCCCACTTGCGGGGAGGGCGGGATATAAATGCTAAAATAAATAAATAAAATAAAAATTCCATCCATGTGCTTTATGTTTCATTGGTCATTGAGCTTGGTAAATGGTCTAGTATTAGTAGATGTAAAGAATGTAAATATCTAATCCATTGAGTTTGTGGAAGCAATCGTGGCATGTTTTCCAACTGATTGTATCCAGAATCTTATTTGTAATGTAAACCAGGCACGCTTAGTTTGGATTTGTCCCAAGTTGTTGTAACTGTTGCAGGCACAGTCCCAGAACTCTGTGAGCCAAACTGTATGCACTCAAGTGGGACAAGAATTCACAACACACTAAGCTGATATTTATTTAGAAATATTGTTCCACAAATCTCAGGCATAGAATGACTAACAAAAGTAAAGCCTGTTCCATGAAAATGAAATACTTGATCATAATACCACTGAAATTTCCACTCCCCTTTGCTGATTTAACCCTAAATTCCAAAAGACAGGTGAAATAGGACATATTAAAATGCTTTGGAAAAGACACTTGAACTTCAGCAACCTTTCTAGTGGAAGGGGAGTTCTATAATTTGACATGGGAGGAGGCACTTGTGGAGAATTCTTTTCTTTTCATGCTCTTTTGTCTAAACCTGGTGCACACATGGTCTCCACTTGGGACAGTGTGGATGCAATGCGTTTCATCTTTTTTCAGTGGTAAAGAAAGAAATAACAGACTTCACTGCAGTCATTTTACTTGGATAATGAACTTCACGTGCTAGTGCTTAAGCATTATATTCTCACTGACAGTAATCATGGTTAAACTGTGACTAGGTTTTCTGCTAACCAGGGTTTGCCAACTGTCTTCGAACCCTGATTTCAAATCGTAGTTAAAGAACAATGCAGTTAGTATATTAAACTGATTTTTAAACATTTACTAGAATACAAGGTCCGTTTAGAAATGTCACTTCACCTAGTTGAAGTATGAACAAGTGAGATTTCAAAGTGTCTTATTGCACTTGTCTAGATGTAATATGACTGAATGTGGAATGCTTCTTTTATGTGTTGACAATGTTTTATGTAGAATTTCCATTATTGCTTTTTCTTCAGTCGCATGTTAAGCATTGCAGACATGTATGGACTTGAGGGTCTAAGAGAAGTAGCCATACATATTCTGAAAAGAGACTACTGCAACTTTTTTCAAAAGGTGTGTTCCAATTTTATGTTTTTATTTTTTTTGTTTTGTTTTTTTTCAGTGAAAAAAAAGGGCTATCTAATGTTTAACCTTTGTATTATAAGCTGGAATGTCGAGTTGTAAAGCCATTATTAATTATACTTAATTAGCTAATGTAGGAATAAAATGTTAAAACACTTTAATATTTAAATTTAGTATCTATATGGCATTAGCTGACTTAATTTTTTTTTTTGGAAAAGTAGTATCATAATGTTGTAAATAAAATAATAGGTGTTTATACTCCATTCCCCACCCCAAACCATTTTATTCAGGTATAGATCTGGATGTGCACAGGTCAGAGAATAGGAATATACATGCAGAAGAATGAAGGGGTAGAAAACTAAGGAAGTAAACCAGATTGCACCAATTCAAACTATAGGTTGAGGATACCTGCTCCACTAGAGCGGAAAGTTCTAGCTAGCTCTCTGACTGCTGTGTTTGTATTTGTGGGATGTTTTTAACATGGGAGAATGTTTGACTTTCCCAGCTTAAGTCTGAAGTTACGTATTCTATTTTAACATTTCAGCATTGTATCTGTGTAGACCAGTCTTGAGATCAATACTTTTTAAACTGGTGTTCTGGAGAATCCTGGGGCTCCTTTAGGATTGCCAGGCCACAGCCTGGAACCCCAGGAGCATTTGGTAGATAGGGACAGGAGCAACATCACTTCTAGCAAATATCAGACGTGATGTCACACCGTCAAGGGGGATCCTATAGGATTCTCAAATTTTTTATGGTTTAAAGTCATAGAGTTTTTGACAAATACTATAACATCCTCCTTGTCATGACATCACTTCCGTTTTTTGACAGAAGTGATGCTACCAGTGTACCCCCTAGTTAATCACCATTTTTTCCTACCGCCAATTTTTCAGGTGTTGGCAACAATGTGAGATTGCCTAGAGGTCAGAGTTCAAAGTCTTTATTAATACAGTCATAAGCCACCACAAGTCTCCGCAAAAATCCCAACCACCAGAGTGGGTAAGAGAAAAAATTAAAATTAACACCTATAGCTTATCATTCAAAGGAAAGTACAGTTAAATAAAATAAAATAATTAAAATTTTGTAATATGTATATGTAAAAACTTAAGCCATCAGCATCTGGCAAATTTTATAAGCTGCCACACAAAATTTTGCAGTACATTTTTCATTTATGAGTAGCATTCAGGCATTCATTGAATCTGATTGACCGGGTTACCTACTAAGGAAGGATAAACTTAAAGTGAACTTCTTGATATAAGGGGCAATGAAGTAGAATGTGTTCCGTAGTTTCAAACTCCCCTGAACTACAACATAGCCGGACTACCTTTGGGAACCTTTTTATATCATCCATCCAAAACTGCAGAAGGAAGTGCTTGACATCTAGCAAGGCAAAATGCTTTCCTGTGACTGAAAATCTCCATTTGGGAAAGATGTGGCCAGGGAAACTAGATATCTAGAGTATTCCAAAGACAGGAAAGTCAGTCACCTCTGTAAATCTGCCTGCTGCTCAGTATCCATCTCCCTTTGCTTCATAACTTGTTTTGCCTGCTCATACCCCATTTCCAAGACAGAATGAGGGGGGAAACCCAAATTCATCAGCTTGATCTTAACTGCCTTTAACCATGTAGATTGATGACTATCCCAAAAAATTGAGGGAATTAAGCCTTGAGGATTGAAATTTAGCTTTAGCCAAAGGTTAATGGAGGCAAGGCACACCCTAGCCTCAATGTTTATCATGCCTGTCTCCAAATACAAAGTAGCATTTAAAATACAGCAAGGTAGTTGAATGGGTGCTCTTCGGAATTTCGACTGTACCCGTTCCAGAGGTATAAAACAAGAAGATGGCGGCCCAATCCATGATCCCAAAGAAGAGTTGAGCCAATGTTTTAGCCTGAAATAGTTTAAGGGCAGCTGGAATATATTAACTATCCTTAGTTTGTAAAAAATTAATTATATTATGGGCAGATTTTTGTCCAGCATCAGCTACGTAGTCACAATGGGCTTTCCTCAAGCCAGAGGCATGCAGTACAACACTTAAATATTTAAAGCTGTCCACCTGCTCTATCTAATGGCCGTTTATACTCCATACCAGGGTTTTAGGTCTCCTACCAAATGCCATAATTTTGGGTTTTTTGATAATTTACTACTAAATGGTCTTTACTGTGGTATTGGGCAAATGTCCTTAATGCTCTTTTAAGTCTTACTGGTATCCTTGATCCGCTAGCTTAGGCGGGTGGAAATTTAAGTCACTTAAACATCTGATCATGTTATTGTTATAGAGAATGAAAAGCAGTGGAGTCAAAATACAACCTTGTTTGACTCCTGCCTTAGAGGTCTTCCACCATAGCAGGAGACCTGGCAACCCTAGGCTTCTTGGACCTTTACTGGGGTTTGTAAAGAAGAAAGTCAATAATGGCAGGCAAGCGTATCTGAAATGCAGTTTCCCCACTACTACCAATCTTTCCCCAACAGTATAGACCCAGAAGTGTGGGTGTGTTCCAGGAGCCCAGTGAGACCCCACCGACATAGTCATCAGCACATTGTACGTATTTATTTATTTATTCCCCGCCCTCCCCACCGAAGCAGGCTCAGGGTGGCTTACAGGCATACTGGTATCATAAAAACATGAAAACTCACTGTGCATCTTAGCAACATTCTCCCAGAATCCTCTGTTGTACAGGGTTCTATAGTATGCTGCTTGCTTGTGGTAGTGTCTGTCGATGTGGAAACAGCACCCTGAAGATTGTCGGTTTAAGTGAAGCAGTCAGCAGGTCCCAGAACAGGTTGCAAGTACTGCTATTCTTCAGATAAGACAGACATCCACCATATTCTCTTATCTGAAAATATTAGCAGCTTTTGAGTCTCCACAAGTTTCTGAAAGTGTGTCTGTATTCTGACCTTTTAGCCTTTGCCTGGAAAATATCAGCCTGTGATGGAATGTCTGGCTATTGCTCATTCAGTGGGAGTAGAAAACCTGTATGATTCTTGTATGAAGTAAGTGAAGTAAAATCTTTTCTTTCTTTCCTTCCCAAGTTTTCATAGCCCTGTTCTGAAAGAACAAGCATACAATTCCTCACAAATGTTTAGAAATATGTTCATATTTTTGTGCAATATTAAAATGCTTAGTGGCTGCTACTTATGCCCATGGAGAGTACATGAAGAATAAAATTTGTTGAAGAGATTGATCTTGCTCCACCAAGATTTCCCCCCCCAACAGGTGGCTAGTAAGGCATTTTGTAAGATGCTGGTCAGAGAAGAGCTTTGCCAGTTTACCTGCTGAATTACAGAATAATTGTCTTAGAATATTGATCCACTCTTTGGTAAGTCCATATGCTTTTTAAATACAAAACTTTAATAATGTTATGCTACCAGGAAACTGGAATCTGATCTCTGGGTATCACACCTGTTCTGATGATGAAAATATACCCATATTTAGTTTATCAGTGTGTATTTACTGCCTGGTAATGTAAGCAATGTTCCCTCTAAGCTGTAGAGTCCTGTGAGCAAAAATTCTACTTTGTGAGCTACGGGCATTAAGGTTGTGGGCGAGCGATTTGGTTACTGCTGAAATTAGTATGCACTGGAGCCATCCTTCTTGAGCTAGGAAAAAAATGTGTGAGCCGGAGCCTAAAAAACTGTGAGCTAGCTCACACTAACTCAGCTTAGAGGGAACACTGAATGTAAGTCTGGCCAGCAAAATCAGTGTTGCTTACCCATCTTTCCAACTGTCTGAGCTTCAGAAATACAATGGATAGCAAATCTATTCATCATGCATTCTGTCCCATCCATTCAAAGGCCTGTGAGTGCCAAATATTTAGCACACATTTGGTATGTACGCATCATGTGTCTTCAGATGAACTTCTTAAAATGGGAAGGAGAACCATGGGTCTGTAGTCACAAGGGGACATGCAGTGGGCATGTGCCAGGAAGCCACAATTGACTGGTACCTCCATGGTGTGAATCCGCCACATGTTTACAAACACACATCCTCCTTTCATGCTTCTTGATATTCAGTAGGGCAAATACATCTGCTGCTTAACATATGAATCCACACTGAGCCTCAAGCTTAAAGACTGTTTGAATTAAATCATGACTCAGTCTAGTATTATCCAGTGGATCTGTATAGTTTCATATTCAATTGTGATTTGCTTCACTGCCAGACCTTGAACATATGATATTCAACTAATCTGTTCTGCTAAGTAGGAGAGAGCAGAGGGGATGGCTTCCTGTTGGTTTGCATGTTTATGAGAGTCTCCTGAGAACATTTAACATAAAATCTGTCCTTAATTAAAGTGAGAAAAGTTAATTGCTTTATTACTCAGATCATGGTGCAAAATGTAAGTGTTGATTTGCACTTAACACAGTGTTGCTCAGAGTAGATATGTATTGTTTTCACTTTAAGAGTCCACAGAATGCTGCCCATCTTCTGATGGAAACCGATCGACTGGTTGGGAGTCTTCCCCAAGTAAAATGGACTGAAACAGCTCTTGCCTTAGCATCAAGGCTGCAAGAAGAGTGTGTGGCATTTATGGTGGCAAATTTTCCCCAGCTAATACAGAGCGAAAACTTTTTTGCCTTGTTACAGGTAATATATTCCTGAATAATATCAGTGCAATGACAGATCATGTCACAAGGGACCCACTGGCATGGTGTGAGGTGCGGCAGGAGAGGCTGCTGCCAAAAATGGAAGTAGGAAGAAGTTATTGCCTCCCCCTCAGTTAGAATTAAACATTAGAAGGGAGGACGTTGAATTTTGCATTTTGCCTAATGAAGGCTTAGATGTTTCAAAATACATCTGTGATGAAATTAAAGCATTATTTTTAGGATTACTCATGTGCATAAGATCAAATGCATAAGATTCAGGCTATATGTAGAACGACATGTACAGGCTGAATGAATCCAGATTCCTCATAGTCTGTAGCCACCGAAATAATTGGTTGTGGTTGCTGAAGAAGACAGGAAGCAAATCTCTCCTCCCACACCCCATTCATGCTGCTATTTATGGGATCTGCCAGCCACCTCTTACTTCCTCAGCCATTCGCACTCTTCACAATTCACCCTTCTCTGGTTCTTTTATTTTTTTTTTCTTCTCTCCTTCCCTTTTGTGCTTACCTTATAGTGTTCCTTTCATGTGTTACCTTTTTTACTCAAACCTCTTTCCTCTCCTCCGTTTTTGCATTCAGTGTTTCCTTGCCCTTTTATTTCCTTCCACATGTGTTAACCTCTTCAACTTCTTTTCCTTATTTCATTCCTTCTTTTCTAATAATTTCCCTTGGACTCGGGGCTTAGTTTGAGTTTGGGGCTTCCCAAAACATGGCTTCAAACTCTGTTTCAGTTAGTAGGACTGAGCTCTAGAAGGTATGAGCATTTTATGCAATGTGGTTTCCCCCCCCCCCCTCTGTCTCCACTGGTTAGTCACAACCAGCAACCACTTACTGGAGGAAAGTTACAGTGCTGGAGGCCGTCAAGTTTAAGTAGGCCAAAGTCCTGGATCCTGTCAATTAAAAGCAGCCTAAAAAGAAGGCGGGAGGTTAGGGGGCAGACTAGGATTCTTCCACTTGGGCCAGTCTTTCTTTCTTACTGGTTTCTAGGAAATCTCTTTAGCCTTCTAAGTTTCGCATAAAAAGTTTGCATCTCTGGCCATGTGAAATATGCTCATGATCACCATCAGATGAGTGGTGTAAGCTTGGGGTTGCCAAGTCCGAAGCTGCGCTGGAGCGGGGGAATCCAGTGCAGCTTTGGGAGTGCACACGCACGCCGCAACCTTGTCACCCGGAAGTGACACGACCACACCGGGCACGCTGGGGGCGGGGCCACGACTATCCGAGGGAAAACCATAGAGTTTTCCCATAGAGACTTCCGGGTGACGTGCACGTTGCGTGCTTTGGGGGTGGGGTTCCTCCCGGGGCCCGATCCAGCGGCGGCGGGGAACGGGCCTCTGGGGCGGGGGTTTCCCCGCCCTCTGGGGGGACTTGGCAAGCCTATGTAAACTGTGAATGGATTGACAAGAAGGTAGAAGGTGCACTAGTAGGCTGTCACGGGCTGGGGAAGCCCTCCCCATACTTCTTGCAGCTTTGAGGCCAAGTAGCAGCAGCAGCAGTAGGGCTGGAGAAGCATCCCACACCCACCATTAGCACCAGGTCAAGGCCGGGTGGCCGCAGCAATGCTGGCAGGGCAGGAAAAACCTTCCCCACACCCATGTGGCTTGGCAGAGCAGTGTTGGAGGACTGCAGCAACTGCAACGTAATGGAAGCAGCCAGAGTAGGTGGGCAAGGTGAGTCCAGGCACACTCACCTGCCAGGAGCAGCCTGGGGGGAGGGAAGCAGGGAGGAGGCCTTGCCAACACAGCCAGCCACAGGAGGAGCCTGAGGCCAGGCAGAGGTAGGAGATAGTCACTTCATGGAAGCAGTGCTGGCCAGCAGGCAGTTGTTTTGAAGCCTCAGGTCAGGTGGGGCTGATGAGGGAGGAAAACACAGAGAGGGAGGCTATTGGCTCAGAAACTGGGAATGAGCCAGGGCCTACCCCTAATTGGAGGGCACTGGCAGAGCACGGGTTGGCTCTCCTCTAAGTGGGCCTTTATTAGGCAGAACCTCAAGGCAGGCTGGGAAGACAGGCCCAGTTAAGCAATCAGAGAGTGGACTGAGGGCTGGGGGGAGAGAGGGCCCAAGGTGTTGCAAATCCTCCTCCCCCTCCTCTGTGCTGGGATGTGTGAGGGTGTGCCAGAAAAAGGAAGAGACTGGACGGCTATCCTGCTCTGACCCCTCAGGAGGTGGAGTCTGACATAGGAATAAGCTGTGAACTACTTTCTTGGTAGAGATTCTGCTTTCCAGCAGCGTTCATTTTCCTAACTGATGCTCAGACTAATGGCTTCTCTAATGAAATCTGGGGGCAGTGGAAATACTAATGAACTCTACATGGCTGTCCACGCTTCTGTAGGCTCCACATACCCAGTGGAAGATACAAATTAATGGAATAGCTGAGGCTTTAGAGAGCCACTGCCAGTCATAGTAGACAGTAGCGTGCTAGATGGTCCAGCTCAGTACAAGCAGCTTCTAAGGGAGAAGGTAAGGGCCTGTCGTGACCACCAGCAGGTTGGACAGATCACTTTAAAGGTTAGAGTACTTAGTTCACTACCCAAATCATAATGCAGGGAGGAAGAATGTTGAAGTGATCCACTGGGATCTGATTAGGGATGGCAAAAAAATTCAAATGTGGACAAATCAAGGCTGGGCTGTGTTTTGGTAGCGCTAATTTTTTGGTAAAGTAATGGCATAGATAACTGTTCATAATAAATACCACTCAGGCTTATTTGTGAATTTCCATGGGCATTTGATTGGCCACTGATTGTATGATGTACTAGATAATCTTTTCCAGCATGGAAATGGGAGGAAGGGACAAAAAACATTGTTCATAGGAAAAAGGGTATGCCCTCCAAAAATTTTCTATTCTATGATTTTTCTGGCCATTAATAAAAGAATCTGTGTACAGCTATTTAATAAATCTATTTTCACTGTTTGTTTCCATTGGTGGGTCCTAGGTTCAGGCCATGAGCAGCAAACCTGACCTTCTAGATCAAGTGTTTGAAGCCATTGAGAAGAACATTAACACTGAGAACAGCTGCTGTCTTCTAGTAGCTATGGATAGTTTGCTGAGTTCTGCAAGTGTGAAAGAAATGGTGGGTCTTGCAAAATTCTGTGTGTGTGTGGCGGTGGGGAAGTATTCCGTGGCTAGGATTGGTTTGTTTAAAACACTGTGGAGGAACTCCTCTCAAAAGAAGTGAACTGAGGTCCTGAAACGAGATAAAGATTGCAGTTGTATGTGCCTTATTCTTTTGGTACAGGCCACTTAAGGCTGCAGTCTTAAATACGCTTCTCTGGAAGTCTCACTAGAATCAGCAGGACTTTGAACCTTACTGAAAGCATGCTTCCATGCAATCCTACACAGAGTTAGGTGACCTTCTAAATCAATTAGGTATAACTGCTTAGGAGATTATCAGTAAGTCTCTCCTCTGGAACATGAATCGAATTTGTATTCCATTGAAGTGCTACAGCAATGAATGCGTTTTATGGCTGGGATCTGGAGTGCCCCACATAGGGATTGCTGTTATCCCCACTCCCTTCTCTGGCTTGAACTTCCTTGAATGCTCTTCCCAGAAGGTTCCCTGAGTTTTGAGTGGCTTTCAGAGAAGTGTAAGGGACTGCCCTTGGGGATAATGGGAGGACCCCAACCAAAAGCCTTCTATGTGTGCTTTTGGATCTTGGCCCTATGTCTTTAAGGAGATCAAGCAATAGATTAGAAAAGACAGCTGCATAATTCATATATAGTTAAGGTTATAATAATGTCAAAAATAAGACTTAGTCTTGCATGATTCTGTACAAACTTTTTATAGTCACAATTTTTAAAAAATAAGATTAACATTTGCCACTTTTTCTTGCTTTAGAAAAACAAAACTATGGATTAAGATTACTCCGGAAGAGCTCTGTAGTTGATTAGGTAATATCAGAGCTAAGAGGTCTTGTTAATAATAATTTCAAATAACATGTTTAGATTTATATTCCACCCCCTCCTGCCCGCCCAGTGCTCTCTTCCCTTCACTTCATAGCAAATTAACTGCCATAGATTCCATGGCCACCATTTTTCAGGAACAGAAATTAACCTTTTTGGAAATCCCAGTCCAGAAGTACTTTATATATTATTGGGCTGAGATTCCTTACTGCAAGTCTGCTGCACGACTCTGGCTGGTACGTTTTTCCTTCTCACTTTATGATGATTAACTCCATAAATACCAGTATATTCCTGGCAGTCAAATCATATTTAGGGAGCCTCTTGGGTTACCCAGGTTAGATTCCTGGCAGGTTAGGTGTCTGAGATATCTCTGATTAGCAAGACTGGGGAAGATCACTGGGTAAGGCTTCAGAGTACTAATCTGAGACTTCACAGCTATTTAAAACAGGGAGTAGAACTAAACGTTGCATATGATCTTATTTCAACTGACCTTTTATTCTCTTTTACAGAATACATCCTCTGGGGCTATGCTTTAAAGGAGGAGGCTTGAAAGCAGGCAAGGGGCTATATCAGGGCTAGATCCAGGTTTTGGGGGGTAGGCAGCAAGGGCGTAGACTTTCCAATTTTCCGGGGGGGGGCTGGGGCTGGGCCAGAGGCATTGCTAAGTAATTAAAAGAACTGGGACCCAATGACATCATAGGGAGGAGCTAGTGACATCACAGGCATGGTCACTATCTATGGAGGTGGACCCATTTGGGATTTAGGGATGGGCTCCCCAGAAATTTAGGGAGGCCTGGGAACCGCCCTAGCAATGTCCCTGGGCTGGGCTAACCCCAGGAACAGTTGCCTTCTTAGAACACTGCTTAGAAACTTAGAAAGCCCCCCCACACCCCACACTGGAATAAGAACATAATATCAGGCCATACCACATTGCAATAAAGCCCCTAAAACTGTATACAGAAATACTGAGCTTCCCTACCATTTGCCACAACTAGCCCACCACACAAGAAGAAGAAGAAGAGATAGGATTTATACCCCGCCCTTCACTACCCAAGGGAGTCTCAGAGCGGCTTACAAACTCCTTTCCCTTCCCCTCCCCACAACAGACACCCTGTGAGGTGGGTCGGGCTGAGAGAACTCTGACACAAACTGCTCTTTTTCAAGGACAGCTGTGCCAGAGCTTGTGACTGACCCAAGGTCACATCAGCAGGTGCAAGTGGAGGAGTGGGGAATCAAACCCGGTTCTCCCAGATTAGAGTCCGCACAATTAACCACTACACCAAACCACCACACAACCAGGATCAAGATTCCTAAGTGGACCAACAGACAGGCATACACTTGTTTGAGAAACTGAGTATTACATTACAACACCTGGAACATTACAGATCAGTAGAGGTAGCACTGCACAGTGGCCATCAAGATCAAGGGGAGGAGAGACCTGTTGTACTATTCAGTTCTTTTTCCCAGTTTTTTTTTTGGGGGGGGAAGGGGGGCGGTACAGGTGCTTCAAGAGTGGTTGATAGAAATGGAG